TAACTCTTTTCTCCGTAATTGATTTCAGCATGATCGACAAAAATAAGATCTCCGAACGACGCGGCACGAAGGCCTGCGATTCTGGCTCGCGGCGGTGCCGGAACTGTTGTTCCGCAAACCCTGCATGACTTGACGATGCGGTCGTACTTTTCGTAAATCTCTTCCGGAAGGCCTAACATGGACGTACGCCTACGAAACTGCGCGGAACTCATGTGGTAATGCTTCACATGCAACTTGTACAGCTCCACATCACTTCGTAGCTTTTCAATCATGCGTCGAAAGGCCGGAGAAGAGCGGGCAACTTCTTGCCCGGGAAGAGGTAGCGCTATACGCCTAGGTTCTGGATCGAAGCGCTCCTCAGGCGCATTGTCTTCTTTAGACTCTGGAGACGGCTCTGGCTGCTCCACTGGAGCTTCAGAAGGAGAGTACTGATCATCCCATTTAGTTGTCTCGACACCCTTACCCTTCAGCTCTGGAAATGGGTCTTCGTCCTCATCTCCAAAGAGCTCTCCTGGAGAGAAAGGTAAAGGTGCCTCTTCTGGGGAAGAGCTGCCTTCTTTTCGCAAGGATCCCTCTCCTAAAGAAGGATGTGGCATTAAGCCAGAATCTGGCTTTTTGCCTGCAATTTTCTTCCTAGCAGGTGCCTTGACGACTTCGTCATCAGGCTTTCCTCTGCGCCCGGGGCCTTTTCCCCGAGTACTCACCTTCACAGAGGTGCGATTCTCTATGCCACCTGGCAGAATCTTGAAAACGGTTCTACCTAACCACGGCTTAGGAAACTTGACGGGAGGCTTGTCCTTCCATTCATCATTCTGCGTTTCCTTCATGCCATCCTTGTAGTTGATGGTGGTCTCCCGAATCGTGTCGAGGTACTCGAGTGGTATGGGAGTATTCCCTTTCGATGGCTTGCGGTGAACTCGGATTAGACGATGGTTGCCTTCGTCCAAGTGCCATTCGTCCTCCACAACCAAGGCTTCTGAGGATTCCTCCCCTGGAGGGGAGCATTCCTTCGTGACCAACTTGTAGCCATACTCGAAGTGGTGCTCGTTCGTCATGAAGAAACTCACCTTCTTGTGTGCATCGAAACGAACTCCCCACATATGCCAGGCTACATCTATAAGATCGAGCATCAAGTGTGAGCTTCGAGCAACCTTCAAAGGAAGGTTCTTCATGCCCAGAACTGAACTTGACAGAAGGGCTTCGTCAGGCTCTAACGAGATCTTGAAGCGAAGGTTCCTCATCTGAGGTAACGACATCAAGAAGGGAACTGTGCCCTGATCAACGATGTCAAATTCGGTCGACTGAATCGTGTAGGAAAGATCGTACATGAAGATCACAATCTTTTCCTTGCGCTGGGCCATCTCGCTGTTGGCAAAAGAGAAATGACTGTTTGTAGGTCGTAACTCGTACCACAAACCACAGTCTGGATGATGGTCCACGAAACCCATGAACTCTTTCGCTGCTTGTCTCGAGGTCATAGCCCGTGTGCAACCGATGTCCAAAACCATAGAGGTAGGGGACAAAGCATGTGTCAAAAAAGACTTGGGAACATCTTCTTCGTTGGAGTCCTGCTTGTAAACCGCTTCGGACACAAAACTGTGGTGCTGCACCCAAAAGGCGTTAGCTATGGCCGGAGTACCTGGGCCTGCCAAGGCAGCAGTCCTCTGGGCTTCCGAGGTGGCATTGGCATGGTCGCCCTTGCCGTCCTTTCCTTTCTTGTCCTTTCCCTTGAAGAACTTGCCCTTGCCTTTGCCCTTTCCTTTCCGACCTTTGGCTGCATAGGAGTCGTCAGCTCCTTCTTGCCAATCAGTTTCTGTCCAGGCTTCATAGCTCCAATCATGCCATTCTTCGTTCCATGCCCAGTCGCTAGCGCTGACGTCTTCGGCGGCATGGGCCTTCCCTTTCTTGCGTTTGAAAAAGCGTCGGCCACCATGGCCCTTGCCTTTGCCTTTCCGGCCCTTGCCCTTTCCTTTTCCACGTCGCAACTTACGACCTTGGAACTTCCGCTGAAACCGCGTGTAAGACTCATCGTCGTAGACCCAGAAGCAATCCTCAAAGGCGTCCAGGAAGCCTTCTGCGCCATCATCTTCGTCCTCGCACCAGTAGCCTTGGCTCTCATCGAGGGTACCTTCATCGATGACGATAAAACTTTTTCTTCCTGGAGCACTTGTGGGTGCTAGAAGAGGGTTGTCTACTGTGGTCTTCGTGGTGCAAAACACTTCCAAATACACTGTTCTCAGCTCATCCACTCTGTAATCTGTGAGTGCCCTGTTCTTGTGCGCCATAAGAGAAGTAAGAACTTGTCTTTGGTCTTGGATAAGGTCTGACAGGGTCACGAACAGCAGGGCAATGAGGTTCGCTGTGATGGGTAGTGCTCTTCCATGTGTTTCTCTCCCTTGTTCGTTGACTCGGCGAAGTGCTTCTTCGGGAGTGATTGCCTGTTGTTCTTCTTGAGGTAGTCTTAGAACATAGGCTCTCACCACGGGGTCGTTTTCACTCACTAGGGGAACAAAAGTGTCCATCCATGACTCGTTCATGCGCTGGTAGGACAGCTGGAATCTTGTCATCCACCTCAGCATATCACCACTACCACGATGCATGTTCATGAACTGCTGGAATCTGTAGAGGAAAACGTTCGCTGCACCCTTCACGAAGTAAGGCCTAAGGAAGCGCTTGAAGTACCTGACTCCATCTTCCTTGTTCTTCAAAGCTTCTCGATCAAGCAATCTCTTGTAGATAGCAGCTTCACCTTCAAGTCTGTTTCTCAATGCGGGTCCTCTCTTCTCTGGTTCAAGTTCTGTGATATCACACCAGTCGTCTACGGCATCTTCTAAAGCAAACCAGCTACTTCTACCATCATAAGATGGGGGAACCTTGGTGGTCACCTGCTGAAAGGCAGAAAGACGCTGAAGCTCTTCCAGTGACCTGTTCCCTGCAGCTAAGGCTTCTCCGTCTGGTTCTTCGTAGTCGTCGAACTGGTCGTACGAGTGACTTGCCATGGCTCTACGATTGGGCTCGGATCGGCTTCCGGTTTTCGAGCTTCTGGCTGCCTCTGTCCGAACAGAGCGTGCCAAGGATTACCCTGGACACCTCTGTTGGTACAGAGCACTCCAGGTAATTCCCGGAAGCTCCGCTGCCGCGTTGAGATGAAACCTGAGCGTTACCAGCCTCCGGCTCGGTACAGCTGGCAAGGCACGCAGGTGTCTCTTTTAGCTCTGCTGGCTAAGTGTATCACTCTGATCCAGAACCTCGGGCACAGGCCACTGCATGCCATGATGACTGAACCCTTGCGGCATACCTGTCTCTATTTCACCCCCACCCCCCCCCCACCCCACCCACCCCACCCACCCCCCCCCCACCCCCCCCCCCCCCCCCCCCCACCCCCCCCCCCCCACCCCCCCCCACCCCCCCCCCACCCACCCCCCCCCCCCACCCCCCACCCCCCCCCCACCCCCCCCCCCACCCCCCCCCCCCCCCCCCCCCCCCCCCCCCCCCCCCCCCCCCCCCCCCCACTTGCAGGCTGCTGCGCAATACAACGGCCTTTGCGTAAACTTCGGAGGCCGGCAAGCATGAGACAATTGAATTTGGGCATATGTGTCGCAGAAGCCAATTTTGCGGTTCAATCTGCATGTAACTTGAGTAAAAATTTGGCGCCCCGCACGTTCACAACAGTTGCATTGGTCGGGACGTTTCGGTGTAAAACTTCTGCAGTCATCAGCAATACTGTCAGTGCTTTTGTTCAACACAGGAGTTCGCATAGCTTGACAGGGTAAAGACAGAATCAAGTGCGCCGCCAACATTCACAGGGCTGCCTGAATCAAGTCAGAATGCCTTGGTACCGTACCTCCGTTTGGCAGCTGTGTTGGCATGCTGTGGGTTTAACACGAGGGGGGAAGCTTGGTGCAAAGGAATTGTTGGGAACATTTGCGGAGGTGTGTAGTATCGCCACGAGGGATGGCGGGTCCAACGTCAGCCTTTGCAGCCCTTTTGCGCCTTCAAGCAAATTACCAGGCAACGACCTTGAAACGATGAGCAGCATGGGCTGCTGAATAGCGATCCAAGCAAGCAAGTTCAGTTCTGTAGTGGGTTTGATTGTGAACAGATGACGAAACCGGATGTTCCCCCTGGAGCTTGTCTTGGCGACGCTACCTGGTCCGAAGTGGGCATTTGGTTCCAAAGCATATTGCGTCTTGCCAAAATTTATGCATGTTTCCTTGAAGCTTTTATCCACAGGCCTCACCTCTGAGTAGCCAATGCTGCTGCGACCTGATGACAGGCAGGCACCTCTGAGTATGAGACCCTAGCATGATTTTACTCAGTCCTCGGCTATTTGAACAATTGAAAAGCAGTGTAACATGCTGGTCAGATCCAGTGCTTTCGGGCCGCTCTGAGGAACCAGAAATTCAGAGAGCAAGAGATTCTTCTCCGGACTCTCCTGGGACTCCTGGCTCAGCCTGGCTCCTCTTAAGAAACATCTTGGAGGGCTTAGCGCTTTAGGGGGAAAGTTCGGGGTCACGCAATGGAATGGGTTTGGTATGGTTTTCTTTGTGGTGCATGAACGACCAAGACCAATCCGCAAGCGCGCGTCTGCCAGCGCCAGCGCGTCTGCCAGCGCCAGCGCGTGGCCGGGACGCAGACTCTCGGCCTTCGAGTTAGCCCGTCCACCAGGCCTCCTATGTCTTATGTCCTATGTCCTATGTCCTATGTCCTATGTCGTATGTCCTATGTCCTATGTCCTATGCCCTATGTCCTATGTCCTATGTCCTATGCCCTATGTCCTGTGTCCTATGTCCGATGTCCTATGTCCTATGTCCTATGTCGTATGTCATATGTCGTATGTCCTATGTCCGATGTCCGATGTCCGATGTCCTATGTCCTCACATCAACCGGCCATTAATTCAAGACCCGGAGCAAGCAGATATGACCGGCTCTGCAGGAATGGCAGCTGGGGGAGATGCGCGACTTCCCACCGAGCCACGCGCCCCTGAGCTGTGTTTGACATGCCCGGCCTTGCCATCTTGCAGCGCTTTGCTTAGCTGAGCATGGGTTTTGTGTTGTTTTCCAGCTTGGGAAGCACAGGTTGAAGGCAGAGCAGGCCAAGACCCATCCCGATGATGGCACTGCCGATGGCAAGTCTGCAGATGCAATGCCTGCGATGCGTCAGCCCAAAGATGCAGCTCCTCGGCGTCGTTGGGTCATGTGTTTCGCCCTTCATACGTTGCCCCCCCCCCCTCTTTCCGAGAATGTGCTGGCCCTCTTGCAACAAACCCTCCCCCCTGGGTCTGAAAAGACTTGTGGCCTCTTTAAAATTCAACAGATTTGTTTTGAAAGGCAAGTTTTGGTTTCAGCTGCTCCCCCGAACCCTTGCCCCAAGAGCCATGAGTCCCTGGAGCTTTGCAGGTTTCGGTCTCCGAGGCTGTTGCACAGAGGCCGACACTGGCCGCCATCCTATCAGAGCAGGTGCCCATTTTGGGGGGGGGGGGTTGGGTGGCGAAGGCTTTCTGGGACGGGCCGGCGGACTTTTTGTAATTTCGGGTTTGAGGTTTGGGGTTTGGTGTTTGGGGTTCAGGGTTCGGGGCTGTGTCTGGTTTGTCGCAGCGTTGGGTTTTGACGGATTTCGCGCGTGCATGTGAGCGCAGTGTTTTTAGATGTTGGAGGGGCTTATGGTCTAGGTGCTTGCGCCGCTTCAGGTTTCGACTTGAACTCGCTGCAGTCTCTTGCTGCCTAAACGTCTAAACAGCTCGAGGTTGCCTGGCCTAGACACATGTTCCGCATAGACCCCGCCTGTTCGGGCCGAACCCGGGTTTTACGAGCCTTATAGGGCCCGGAAGGGCCTGAGGAAGGTGCAGACTCATGAGTCTTCAATGTGCAACCCATCCCCATAGATGTGCAACCCTAGAAGATCCTAGAAGCCTTGTAGGCCAGGATCGCTTGCCCCACCGCCGGCCCAGGAGGTGGAGCTGAACAAAGGCTTCAAAGCCTGGGCCGCTGGACATGCTGGGATCGAGATTATCGCAGTTGCTTGTGCGTTTTGCTTGTCAGTAATGCAACGGGGCGAAAGAGGCCTACACCCCGAACGCTTTTCCGATTGATGAAGGCCCTCCAGTCCCCAAACGCATCGCCTTCTGTTCCAAGCTCCTCACCTCCTCTTGTTCTGACGCCAAGCTCCGTAAGAAGCGAAGGTGAACGGCCCCTTGGATGCGGTGATGGGCTTCGTTGTGCTTCTACACTTGGCATTCATGGCTCTGATGGCGCAGCAGATCGGCCACGAGGCCAGCGCATTGCCCAAAAAGGCCACTGCTGTTTTCCCCCGCCAGCGTCTTGAGGGGTGCATTGTAAAGGCCCGAAGTCTCTTGAATTATTGTTGAACCTCTCGAGTACATGTGAGGCAAACGTCAGCTTGGGGCTTGCAGAGCCTGGTCCGACGGTGCTGTCGCGCAGTGTTTATGACACGCTTGACACGGTCTTCTTTGTGGTGTATGTCATGGACATGCTCACGCGCATGTGCCCCGGGCGTTATGCAGATTTTCCTTAAGGCTTCAGCGTCCTACATGTCGGTACTGTAGCTTGCGAGGAACGGTGGAAATTTGTGGAATAATCTGTGGAATGTTGACCGCTCTACCGCTTTCCCACCAAGGCTGGTGCTTCGCAGGCGCTGGTACTACGACCCGGAGATCGGGATCATGTACATGAACCTGTTTGATGCCATCCTTGTTCTTGTCCACGCGTTGGAGCTAATTATGCAGCTCAGTTGGGAAGTGGGATTTGTAGAGGTCCGATTGCCGTCGTGGTTAGTTTTTGAGACGTTCAGAACACACTGAGTTGACCTCGGACTCTGACAGTGCAGTCACGGGCGTGGAGGTTGTTGGGGTTTGGTCCGGTTCAGGGCACGTGTGAGGATGAGTCCCCCGCCCCCCCAAAGTCCACACGAGAGGGGGTCCAGACCCTGCGCCAAGCCAATTTCTGGAGCTTTGGGCGCTTTTTTCCAGGCCTCCGGACAGTAAAATTTTGTCGAATCTCCACCTGAGCTGGAATGGGTGATGGGATGAGACCACATCACTGAAATCCTATATAGCTTTCACGGCATCAGCACAGCACCACTTCTGAATGCGCAAACCCGAACCCCCTCAACTCAACATTCATTTAAGCTTCGCGGGGTCTAGGGCTCCGAATCGCCCAAGGGCTTTCGCTGAAGAGTTGGGCGACCAGTCGCGGGTGGTGCGACTGTGGAGGCTGATGCGTACGGTGCGGGTGGTGCGGATCATCAAGACCGCCTCCCGTCAGAAGGGCTGATAGTGCAAGGGCCAGAGAGCTTTGGGAGGTAAGCGCTGCTGTTCAGGAGCGTTCAGGTCAAGCCCCAGCGCCTACACCCTACCAAGCTCTCAATACCCCCCTTGAGATGAGAAACCTCTCCAGAACCGGAAGCCGAACATGGCAAGGCACTACAGCACGAAGTTCGCAATTCTGGATTAGGGATTCGGAGCTCTCTTTGGAAGGAAAGGCTCTTGCACGAGAGAGTCTGCGTGGTTCTGCACTTCGAACTTCCCTTTTTCCTGGCACCCGGCCGCCCGCCTCCTGAACCCACACCCTGAGGTTACTGTGTTCCGACAGCTACGGGTCCTGGTCTCCACCATGGCGGCCAGCATCGGCGCGCTTTTCTGAGGCACTAGCTCGTAAACTCTACTCTATGGACCCCTAAACCCTCTTCCCCTCTGGACTTCTGGGTTCTTTAGGAGTTTTAAGTACAATCGAAGCAAATTGGGCTTGTGTACCCTAAGCTATTATCATCCAGATAGGGGTTTTTGGAAGTCCCTATTGAGGTTTACGTTCCATGAACCGTTTTAGGGTACGATGCGACTTATGGAGTTCAACTATTCTGCTCATTTGTGGAACGTCGGGATGGCTTCGTCTAAGGCTTTTCTGGTCCATCGTCCTGCTCTTCTTCGTCAAGGCGCTTCTTCGGTCCTTCGGTCATTGCTTTCGGGTTGAGGACGGACGTTTCAAGCTTCCTTCTAGACCGTGCCGTCGCCCAAGCGTCTGGAGTGCAGGATAGGGTGTTAAGCTATCTCAAGTTTGGGATGCGGGTAATGGTTGCAGCCCTTACCTGGTGGAGGGGGAAATCGTCGAGCACACTAGTGCAGGGGCGCTGGTGTATGCATTTCGTCTCTGAACCCTCTGTTGAAGGACTCCCTCGTTTACCTCTTAACGGTCAAGGGTTTAAGGCCCTTCAGTGCTAAACTGGGCAAGCCTTAGGGCCATCCGCTCGATGTGAATTTTGGGTTCGTGCAGGGAGTTAAATGACGCTGCCATGGGACTCGTAAAGGAACCAACTCGGGTTAAGTCTCCAAGATCGACTGTACGACTAGCAGACAGTTCCTGAGTAGCTGGAAGCATCCTTCTGAAAGCCCAAGGCCTGAAACGACTGAACCTATTGAAACCACGCGTACAGCCTTTGGGAGGTCGGATTCGCTTTGATCGTGTGCCTGTCACTGCAGGCTGGGCGCTACATCCCCCTACCGTCCAAGAGGTAGGCATTTTAAAGGCGGTCATAGCGGTCACACGTGAGTTGGGCCGATTCTAGTTACACGGACTTGTGGAAGCTGTGTTGATGCGAATGATATTCTCAGTTCGGTAAGTGTGTTCGCTTCGAGCTTCTGAACCCAACTTCCCTCTTTCTAGATTTCAGCAAGACCTAGTGCCCCAAAAAACCTCAATCCCCAAGAGTCGAACCCCCCAAACCACCACGGCGCTGAGGATTTCATTCTGGATGAGGAGCAAGACAGGGCGACACGCTTGGAAATCAATCTTCTTTATGGCAGCTTTCTGAAGGCTCTGTTCACCATGTTCGAGGTGGCATGTGGGGCAGGGCTCGTGGGGCAGGGCTCGTGGGGCAGGGCTCGTGGGGCAGGGCTCTTGGGGCTTAAGAGAACTATGGGGCTTTTAGGGCTTGTCCTGGCAATTGGGGCTTCATGAGTTTTGAGCTTTATCTTTGCGTTGCGCCTGCTTCCATGTTCAGATCGTATCAAGGGTCTACAGGCACGAAGCCTTCGGCAGATTGGACAGGGTCCTTATCATAAGGGAATCCTACTATCCTACTCTGTGGGGGTCTTTTTCAAGGGGCCCCCCTATTTTCATAAACTCCCAAGTAGCTGCTCAAGTGAACAGGCGACCTACAGCGGGGGGTGGCCATCGCGGTTTAGGCCGGTGGTGGATGGCGTCAACCCACTGTACTCTCTTCTCTTCTTGAACCTCGGCTTTTCAATGGCTTTTCAATGGGGCCGCATGATATGGCATCGTATGGGAAGGGCTTACGAGGCTTTATTTCATGCTTAGGCTTTTTAGAGTTGCATGTTGAGTTTCATGGAATGAACCACCCCCTCCTCCCTCAAGGATATGTTCTTGGCGCTGGGTCAAAGATGGTCAAAGCAAAAGTTTCGGGGAATCCGGGGGTCGCCTTTCTGGTTCGGGCGGTCCCTTGGTTGCGGAAATGGTGTAAAAACCCATGGGAAATACGTCGCCGGCGCCCATGGGTTTCATTGTTTCCGCCCAGGTATCCAGTGTTGTAGTCCTGTCGATTCGGCTTCACTATCGCGCAGCCCATGTCAGAGTGCGAAATACCAAGCAAAAAGGCATGGTATGCAGGACCCAAGTTGGCATGAGCACCTGCTCGTGGAAAGCCTGCAAAAATACCCGGGAATGACATTGATTGAATTCTTCCGCAAGAAAGGTCATTTCGGCGTGAAAGAATTGAGGGGAACCGAGATACACATCGGTCTTGGCGTATGCAGCTTCCTGCAAGTAGCTAAGTAGCTGATAGACCCATCCCATGAGGACGTAGCTCCTCAGTTTTCAGGTTGTACGTGACGGTGGTCATCTTCGCGCTGCTCCGGGTTGTCACAGCCATCTTTCTGAGAGAGACGATTGAGAGCACGGCCAATGATGCCGATCCTGCGCACGCAGTTGGCATCGTTTGTGTGTTTTACCGCGGAAGCATCAAAGCCTTCGAGATGCATGATAACACATACACAAAGATGAGTCTACATGTGTGTATATGTGTATATATGTACATGTACACATACGTATACATGCTAACACCCCCGCCCTACGAACATAATCGACTCTGTCCTTATGTGGAGCTGCCGCAGACCATGGTGGCCTGGAGTTGTGATGCCTGCAAAGCAAACGAAAAGCAAAAAAGTCTTGTACCGAAACGCACAAGCCAAAATGACAAAAGAACACGAACAAAAGCAGAAAGCCAAAAACAAAAGAGAGAAACTAGAGCAAAGCAGAAGCCACCATTTCTGAGCACTAGTACGGAAACGATGTCCTGGAGACTGGCCCTCTTTTTGTTAAAGAATGTTTGTTTTTTGTTTTTTGTTTTTTGTTTTTGTCTTTTTGGTTGTTTTGTTTTTGGGCCGAAGGAGTCTACGGCCTCCGGACAAGTATAGTTGGCAATTAAAATGAGTTAAGATTTTGCTCAGACCTCCTCCTCTGGGCGGCTTGCTGGGCCTCATCCGTAGGAACATTAGGTTTCACGAAGATCCTTTTTGCACAGAGTCCAGTGAGAGGCCCTTGTCTTGACTTGCCAAAAACACCCAGCTTCAGAAGATACATGGCGCTTCTTGGAATTTCAGGTTCTTTTGAGTCAGCCATGCTCCTCCTTCCCCCCGGTGTCCCAGCCGGAAATTCAGGGCCTTTGGTCCTTGACGAGCCCAACTGGTTTTGGGTGTGGGGTTTAGGGTTTCCATATCCTGAGCATCTCGGGGGTGATTGCAGCGTTGACACGTGGCGGGTGTGAGCGATGCGGAGCAATTCGTCAGACGACTGGGAAGATCGCAAGCGATTTTTTCGCAAGGTTCTGCCAACAAGCCAGCGTTCTCCACATTCATGAGTTCTACTACTCCATACCGTAAAATTCAAAGGCCATCGCCTTATTCTCGTGTTCCCGCGGCATTTCCAGTACTTGTCTTGTTTTGCGTGCCTGGTCGGAGCTTCGACGCGCCGAGCATCCCTGGAGTCCCACCCCCAGACAAGCCAGCAGAGATTCCCGCCGAGTACCCCCCCCGGCACAAACGAAGCCCACAGAGAGTTCCACCCAGCATCCACCTTCAGCGGAATTCCGCGGAGAGTCCCTTGACAGCCTATGGCAAAGTACCGGTAAGCACCTGTCCGAATGCGCCAGGATGGTTCCCACATCAGGGGGCTGTAGTGTGGGGATGATCGAAATACATGTTCTTGGCACTTCGGCTCCGAAAGCGAACCTGGTTGCTGCTCGTAAAATTTCAACTCTACCCGCCGTCACACTACTTTTTAAACACGCACGACGAGACGCACAAGGGAGGGGTGGGGTGGCAGATATGTACAGGGTAATACAGTATAGCACCAGATACAGTACAAATCATACAGCACATAAAGGTCATACCAAGTAGGACAGTATGCATATGTATGTATGTATGTATGTATGTATGTATGTATGTATGTATGTATGTATGTATGTATGTATGTATGTATGTATGTATGTATGTATGTATGTATGTATGTATGTATGTATATACATATATATATATGTATATACATTATGCGCGGAGACAAACACATTCACATACAAGCATGTATACATTTGTGTACGGTTTTTCAGAAGTTCTGACCAGAAGGAGCTGCAACTGTCAGAGCACAAGCGACTTGCACGAGCGTACGAGGGCAAGTTGGAGATCCTGTTCAACACTTTGGACAGCGATTCCAGTGGCTGGCTATCCTTTCCGGAGTTTGTGAATTCCCTGGGGAATCCAGCCGTCAAGCGCTACATGCGTCTCTTGGACTTGCACGTGAGCGATGTCCAGCCATTGTTTGAGATCCTCGATGAGGGTGGAGATGGCATGATCTCTGTTCATGAAGCTGGACTGGATCTGCATGTTTGTCTTTTTGTATTCCCCACCCTCGGTGTATGGTTGTTCCCACCCTGTGTTTGGGTTGTTAGGATTTAAGTCAACCATGCTCTTCGCTTTCCTCCCCCGATGTCCCGCAGGTCCGCGAGAAACCCACAAAGAGTCCCGTGGAACTCGGAGGGCCCAAAATGTCCCGCCGAGTATGCCTGGAGTGCCCCAAGAGTCCGCCGAAGATCCCTGGCCAAAGAAGAGTCCCCCAAAGAAACCACCAAAGAAACCACCTTGGAGTGACCTGCAAACGCAGGGAAGCCCGCAGAGTCTTGCCATCCTTGCGCCATGCAGAAAATCCCGGCATCTCTGGAGTGCCCACCCCAAGGGACGGAGTTCCGCCGAGTATCCCTGCAGTGCCTTCAGTGAATTCCACGGAGAGTCCCGCGACTGACGCAGCGAAGCCTCCGCAATTGCCTGTTTGAGACAAGATGTCTATCACATCAGGTAGCTGCATGCAAGGTGAATGGGTATTGCGGAAAGCCCAACCCTGGGAACCCCACAGCATCCCGAATATCTTTGGAGCGCCCAACTCTTGTACGGCCGCAAGAACACAAGCGGTCCCCCAAGCTTCGCACCCCCCACCGTGGCTTGGGATGTGACTTTAATATTGTTTCTGGCCAAGCCAAGGAATTTGTCAAGGGCTTGACACACGTCAAGGGACAAGCACGCGCTTTGGACATCATGGTCCTCCAGAGACAAAGTGCCCAGCTTCTCCGTGCATGCCATGAAGTTGACAACAAACTCAGCCGAGCAATGGCCTCGAAGACGAGAAGTCCAACCACCCGGTTTAGGGATTCCATCTAAACATCGTCACGCAGTTCGCAGCATCACAGATCACCACCGGCTCCGGAAGCTCCGCGTTCGAAGATCGTGGCACAGCCTCGAGGTTCCGGCATCGGCTGAAGAGCTTTGTGGCGGGGAGGCGTGGTTCGGCAGACTCGAGACGCAGAGGCCGCGTGAATTTGCCCTACGTCCGGTAAACCCGGATCGCACTTCCGCGCTCGGAGTTCTTTAAGCTTTAACCGGCAGTGCTCTCAAACGAGATGCAAGATGCCAAAAGGCAAGTTTTCCTCAGCTTCCGCCCTGCTTCGCCAAGGAGTTGGCCAAGCTCAGTTTTCAAAAGCCGGCTCGAGGGCTTCTGGGGACAACTTGTAACCAGCCAGGCGGCGCGAAAAGAGCACTGACCGGCTTAGGTTGTGGAATGTTGTGTAGGATTGCAGGGCTCTTCACGCAGAGAAATATGTGCAAAGCTCCTGAAAGCTTCCACAGAGACACAGGCAAGTAAACCCTAGCGACGCTTAACCTTGCAGACATCGAGTTTGCAGCTAGCAGTTCGCAGCGAAAAGTTGTCGATCCATGATTGAAACATTTTGCCATGTAGATTCTTTCTGCAGATGCAGTGGGTGTTCTTGCTCGCAGCATTTCAGGCCCGATCGGAAGAGAGCAGCCATTTGATCACTGTTGATTTGGCACATGTTGCAGTCAGTGCACGGGCAGTCTCACGGCACTTTGTATATTTGGTTACTGCTTGTAAGCACCCTGAACAGCAAACCCGAATGCTTCAACTTGCATGGTTCTTCACCAAGATGCAAGTGGATCGTTTTTTTGGAATCATGTTAGCCCTGCGGCTTTGACACCAGGCGCCAGCACGTTGGCATCTTGCACAAAGTAGACAGCGGTACATGCATGATATGCGGGTGTACTGCATGAATGAAACCAAGTTTTTTCCCAGCCTCAAGTTGCATTTGCAGATGGGCAGGTAAGAGGTGGACGTTGTGAAAGGGGCATGCTCCAGTGTGTTCCTTCGTGGGCCTCTGGGCATCACAGGACCAAGTCTCTTAAGCTGCATCATGGTGATATTGTCAAGAAGCGTTTCAAAAGCTAGTAGTCAGGACATGGGTGGCAAGAAGAAGGTACTTCGCGAGATTTACCGCAAGCTCATCGAGGCTTGTTGAGTCGAAAGCACTATAATAATCATAATAATGAAAGTAATAATAGTAATAATAATAATAATAGAAATAATAATAGTAACCTCACAAAACGCTTGTTGTGACGTCTCGACCTGTCGGAAGTGCGTTTCAGCGGAGCTGCGTCTTGGCTTGACAAACTGCTGAGGGCATGCATCACGCACCAGATTCGTGGTTTTAGGGTCCTTCCCAAGCTAGTTTTGATCTCTGCAACAGTATTCTGTCATTTGAGACAAACAGTACTTTGGTAGTTGGGCCAGCTTAATGGGAAGAGCTGTGGATGGGCCATCGTATTCAACCCATGTGCTTGCTGCACAGTCAATGTCGCAGCCTTGCTGCGGCCTGGCACTGTGAGGGGCATGAAGACGGGCAAGGGCAGTGCAAGCTGCTGTGCCTCTTAAACTGCAGCTTTTGGTTCTGTGCAATTTTGTTGCATGTCGTTGGTTGGGGGCGGGGGTCTCCGTCGTCTTTCGTTGGAGGGCCGCAGATCTTTCATGTGGTGTTTGGGCAAATCATCCGTTGAATGCAAAGGCAAGGCGGCCAACTTACGAAGCACGACGTTTCAATTTCGCAGGAATTCTTCCTCCAGGTATCATGTGTTCAGATTCGTAGATCAACTAATTCTGGCCAGTTGAGTTGTTGGAATGCTTTGCGGCTTTGCGGAACAGATCCTGAGGCTTTTCTGACCATGGCATTGACAGCATTTACATATGGCAGGCAGTGAAGTCAAAACTGGGGCTTTTTCTTGCATCATCAGTAGATGTCCAGAATTTGCTGCCCTGAGCTGTGAGATAGTTGTGAGATGCAGGCACCTGCTAGCGCCGGTTTCATGCAGTTTTGCGTTGCCACGCCGTGGCCTTGCGGAGCCGCATGGCTATGCATTCAGGTGGTCTAGCGATGTAGGTACTTCATGCGCTACGAGCAAAACTAGTGTTTATTCAGGTGAGCTGTCTCTTTGCATTCTGGCCGGTCTCCAATGAGGCCGTCATTGAAGATATTGTCTTGGAATGTGGCAGGACTGAGGCCGGGAGTTAAAAATGATTCACCAAAGTGTGGATGAACGCTGTGCATGGAGTCCAGATCGATCCTGAATCGGGATGATGGTGCCGAGCTCTTTGCTGTTGTCAAAGACGAGCAGCCTGACATCACCCTTCTCCAGGCAGGTCGCTGCAGGGAGTTGTCCCAACTTTGTTTTAGCGTTCAGGGTTCAGGGTTTAGGGTTTGAGGTTTGGGGTTTGGGGTTTAAGGGGCCGCCGGCCGAGGAGCACAAACTTCAAGACATCCACGTGCCGAAGCACGAGCCCAGCGTTCTGCGCATCTTCAATGAAGCCTGCCCCGGCAAAAGACCTTACCGCGCTCCGCGTTTGAATGCTTCCGGGTTCAATGTCGGTTTGGCTGGTGAAGCTGGTATACTTCTTTTCACACATAGCAGCGATGTACGGCACTGGCCAGCAGTCTGATTTGTACCTGTTGCAGCCCCCTGCCTTCCGCACTTTTACTGCAGCGCAGTCGTCGAGACTTCAAGATGTGGTTACATTGTTGTTACATGTTCCTCCTTGTACCAAGGTGCCGCATGGGCTGTTTCGGAGCGCAAAGGCCGCAAGAAGCAGTAGTTGAGTATTGGGTTGGTGTGAAGGTGCCAGTGAAAGCTGCATGTCCTGGTAGGCTACTCGGGCACCTGTGCCATCTATCATGATGGTGCGGGCGGAGGAGTCCTTGGCGTAAGCACTGGTGGAGTGGATGAAGTCGATCGAGCCGAAGGCAGAAGTGTACCTTGGCTTCAGAACAAGGCCCTATCTGAGACAACATATACTTCAGGTGCGCTAAACCCTAAGCCCTAAGCCCTAAACCCTAAACCCTAAACCCTAAACCCTAAACCCTAAACCCTAGTGTAGGTTCAGGGAAAGCTGAGGCTTGATTAGGCTTGGCACTGACTGTCATCGATACCTCAGCAAACCGCCGAAGGTCCGCCTGGATTTGAGCTGTGGTCTACGCGTGGTGGGTGTTTATGTTCCGAACTCTGGGCAGACATTGTCTCGCCTGGACTACAGAGTGAACGTTGCCGAGTTGCAATTTTGCGACGAGAGTCTACGAGCTCTGTTAAAGCATACCGTGATTCAATGCTTGGCCGCAGCAAGTCCGAAACCATAAAGAAACCACCATGTCACAGTCCTCAGGAGTGGGATGCAAAGCTGCGGAGCTACATAAAGGCCAGGGACTATCCGCGTATTGAGATTTGGTTGCTTCGCGTCTGCGACAGGCACTGGAAGGGGAGCGAAAGGCGCAGCCCGAGGAGCCGGGCTCCAGCACCGCGGAGGTTGTTCTTTGTGGAGACCTCAACGTAGCACACGAGGAGCCGGCTTTCCAATGCATTCTTCAACCCAGTGACGGCACGTGGCGTTTGTTCAGTTCACTCAGTTCACACTCGACAACAGGACATGGATGTTTGGAACGCGAAGACCCCCCGCATCTGCAAACAAGCTGGCACCACGCCAGAGGAACGGGCAAGCTTCGGTCGTTTCTTCTCGGAGCTTCATGGCTGAACTGCTCGGACAGGCGGCAGTTTGAGCTTTGGTAGGCCTATTGGTCACATGAATCATGGTCCCAAAAAGCCGCTTCAGTCTTAGTGGCAGCAAAGGCTGGACATGGTCGATGCTTTTCGTTGGCTATACCCAGAAGCTGACGCTTACACGTACTGGAGCCTTCGTGCCTGGGTACGATTCAGCCGATGTTGAGGCAGACGGATTGCACCGTAGAAGGTATGCGCAGATTGGCAATCTGCACAGGCATCCAGCATTGAACTTCGTCTGTGTGTGTGTGTGTGTGTGTGTGCGTGCGTGCGTGCGTGTGTCTACCCGGTGCCGCTGCGGGGTCTGAGAACTATATGAAACCTTTTAAGGTCACAGACACCGAAAGGTGAACAAGGGCCTTCGACTGGACTACTTCCTACTGAGCCGAGCGCTCGTGGACGGCAGCTCCCAGGTCTACTCCATGTCTTTGAAACAATTTTGCGAGTTGTTCCAGCAAGTCTGCTGACTGTCTCTGAGTGGCTGCTTAGCTTGGCCACGCTTGTGCAGGCTGCTCTTCATGATTGCCGTATATTGGCGGGCTATGGTGGCAGTGACCACTGTCCAGTCGTATGCTCCATGCACCTGTCATAGCACTGCTGCGCTGCTTCTGCTGTCGCGGCTGCCGCGTGACCTTGTGGCTGTGCGAAGCCGGGGTTTCGGCTCTGGACTGATTGTTTTGGCTTGTTATCGACTTGCGCTTAAACTAAATGAACATGGCTTTTGTAAGAGATCAGTGTGGTGGGAGTTGCAGACGCGCCGAATTATTGTACATATTGATAACAAGCTGGACCGCACGCCAGTTGCGAAGAACAAAATGTGTCGGCGAGCATTGCGGTTCCTTGAGGTGAATTTGCCTTGTTGAAGGTTCCAAGCCCAACAGCGATGCCATCAGCGATGCCATCAGTGCAGCCATAGTAGTGGAAATGCACTTGAGAGGACCCCCAGACCTCAACAATGGCCCCATATTGCCCCCCCCATTGCTTTACTCAACACCACCGACCCAACTGCTGACAGGCCGTCTACGCCAAGTGGAATGCTGAGAAGATCAGCGATGTGCCAAGGAAGGGACTTGGGTTTTGGTATGGGGGTTTACGAAAATCGGGGAACCCTCATATAGACCCCCAAATAGTAGGATTCCCTTATAATCAGGACCCCAATAAGGTACCCCCTAGTTTCGGAAAAGCCCCCGTATGCTTTCCATTCTGGGAGGCTCATGGACAAGTACAAAGAGCAGGAGGCTGGCGAGGGGGGTGTGCCCTGTGCTGAAAAAGGGATGTCTTGCACTCGCTCCGTAGCATCTGTAGCCAACGCAGGTGCTACGTCCTTGATTCTTTGGAGATCAGGGTGGGCAAGTGGTGGTAAGGATTAAGATGGCATGTGCTACGCTCGTAGCTACTAGGCTGCGTCAAAGTTACAAAGCGTTTGTCATGGTGAAGCAAATCGTGCTATAGAATCAGATCGTGTTGTTCGTGCCGTGGCTAAGTTAGAGTACTTGGACGATTCCGGTAAACGTTTGTAAACGCGACTTAAATTAGGGGAATCAGCTTTTGTTGGTGAATGTTTGTGAAGAACCGTTTCTTGCCTTGGTAACATGTAGAAAGTATATTGTACGTTGACAGAAATTTTCTATCTAGAGGAATGTTTTGACACGATGGCCAGAAGTTCGCAAAACACTGTACGATGTTTTGCTCCTCGCCCCCGAGTCCAGGCAAGGCTTCATGCATAAGCGCTCAAGCGGTTGGAGAACCGTGAAAGGACGAGATTTATGACCGGATAGTGCGGAAATACGTGTCCGCGCCTGAGTTCCATTGCACTCGGCAGGCTGCCTTAAGCGAATGAGGCCTGCAAAAGCATGCATATCCACAGAATGTACCAACCGGTGGCGAGGTTTTCCCGGTCACAGAGCGACTGGCAGCCGTTGATAGAAGCCATGTGCTTGCCTTAGCTTTGCTTGGAGGTTCCCGGTACTTTTTAACCCACGTAAAGATGACTTATAGCCCAATTGTAACCCGATTTTGGCACTTACGGGGCGTATAAGTGGGGCTATAAGTACAGGTGCAATCGGGTTATTGAGTCATTGAGTACCCTAAACCCTAAACCCCAATACCCGTAGTTTGTAACTACCATGAACCTCCAAGTCGCTCCTCTCCAGTCCGAGAAGTGGAAGATGGGAAGTGTTGCTCAGGTACAGGCGCTTCAATCCCAGCAAGCTCAAAGAGCTTGATAGTGCTGCGGCTGCAGAGCTCATGAGGTTGAGTGTTTACGGTCAAAAAGAACCTCTGTGCCGGCAGGTTTCAAGGAGCATGTCAGTAAGAAGCCACCCAAGGCATTTTCGTCAAGTACAAGGATAGCGAGGCAGGTCATGATCACGGCTGTTGGAGACCACTGCACGCCGTTATGTATGTTTTCCTCCTTCGACGTGAGATGGTGTGTTTGTGCTCGCAGGGTGCTCCATGAGATGTTCAGGAAGATGACATGTCCAAATGCCAGGCAGCATTATACCGAGCGCTTTGCGACAAGTTCGCCCCACAGTCCGTTGATGACAGGTTGTTTGATGTAACATGTTGAAAGTACCGGAACTTGCATCATGCACAGCACTGCACTGTAAGCGCTTCTCACTGAGGTACTTGCAAACTCTGTCCTCAGATGGTGAGCCCTTGACGCCTGCACCTCAGGTGGGAAATGGAAGAACATTACGCGCATTGCATGTCTGGCCCCGCCTGTCTGTGGTCCCATCCGCGGCCAAGGTTCAACGTCTGGGAGTTGGGCACGGAGCCAGTGGAGGTTGGCATGCGCATGCAGGTTGATTTTGGACTAAGCGACTAAGCACCAAAGCGACACTTGTGCCCGGACACATCCATTTGCATTCTCTGATTCCGCAGCGAAGCCACCGAAATCTGCTGAGAGCCATGTTGTGACTCATCGATCTGGCGAGTGCTCCGCCACCATTCAATTTCTCTCTTGACCTTCGGTAAGCATCTCACAAGCTGAACAAAGAAACCAGATTTTCTTCAATGCGTTGAGCCTGAAGTCGTTAAGCCATGCATGTTTTGCAATTGCAACTGGGTTTTTGCTTTGCTGCAAATTCTGTCTCAAAGAGCCGCGATGATGCGGTGGAGGTGGGTGAGGCCTCGGAGCTCGAGGTGCTGGAATCCCCTCAGGACTCTCGGTCACGCTCTGTAATGTGTATCGAGTCATGATGTCATAACTTGCCGTATCTGAAGTCACGGGGTTCGCTTCCTGGAGGATGAGGCTCCACCTGTTCGCCTGGTTTCACCGAGCCCTTTGCGGTCACAGGAGAACGATGGAGTACAGCACATGATTGCAGAGTGGCCGCAAGTATCGATGTCGGCCCGGCGATTGCTCCATCGGCGTGTTGAGACGCTTTCAGTTAAGGGGTTTAGTTGGGGCGGGATGGGTCGTGCCATGAGTTGCTCGGTTCAGCAAAACTGGGGGCAAGTTGGGGCCCACCCCCTCCTGTCTGTCAGTTCGCCTCACTTCCGAGCATGCGTGGGAATCTGGCGGGGTCGGGTGCTCGGGATGACAGTCTTACAGCGCGGCGAGCAACATGACGACCGCACCTGTGGTTGGAACCAGCTGCTTCCAGTTTCCCGAATCATTTTTTTCCCGGCTTCGCTTTGTTTTAGTTTCCGAGTCGGGCTGGTAGCGTGCAGCCTGAAGGGTATTGCAATATCGGCGCAGAGGTGAAAGGCATGGGAGGGCGCGATGTGCCGGCGCCGGGTGAGCAGTGGTCGAAAGGACACATGGTGATTTCTCTAAGTGCGGTCCCTTTTGGGGTCCTCATGAAACGGTTAAGGCGGCCCCTCGTATTTGGGGTACCCAAACATGGACCCTTTATTTCAGAACTGACCACATCGATGTCTGATGGCATGACCGGTTAAACGGCCCGCTCTGCAAAAGGTGGTTTATGTGGACAGGGGGAGTGGCTGGAGAGTGCTCGGAAAATCAGCTGCTCAACCCTGAGAGGGGTTTCTAGCTTGGAGTAGATATCTTGTGCTTGATAGTAGAATTTGAAGAGCTTGAAAGTGTTTGGCCTTCTTCAGCAGGACCCCCTGCGGCCCGACAATGGGGAGGACTCAGAGAAGGATCATAGCTCAGCATGGCTCAGCATGAATCAACATTGTTTCCGAGACTCACCGAATCTGGGGCTGGATCGGAAGAACCTAAGCCTAAACTCCTACACTATAGGTATTTCCGAAACCTGCAGCATTCCAGCAAGAAGACTGCCTGTGCGCAGCGTGAGCTCTTCCCTGACAAGGATCGAGCCATGCCAGAGGGGCGGACATCGCCGAATCGTGATAACCTGGATTTAAGGGCAGCAGCCTCAGGAGCTTGAGCAGCCAAAGGGTTTAGGGTTTAGGGTTCAGGGTAACGGGGGTGTAGGGTTCTGCGGCTATTCTTTAGGTCGTAGGGTTTCGGGTTCCATGCGATTCGCCTCCCTTTCCTTAGGCCACTCAGCCCGGCGCCGCTGAGGAGCTGGCAGCTCCTGCAGGTCCTGCGCCATCAACCGTCAAGCCCTCGGCAGACAGAACACGCTCAGGATGTATTTTAATATCTTTTGCATTATCAAATGTTATTCAATATTGTTCAATATTATTTAATCTGTTTATCCGGGTCTGCTGTCCTTTCCAGGAAGGGCAGGAAGGGAAGGAAGAGAAGAAGAAGAAAAAGAAGCGGCGGGATGGTGAAGCTGCGTGAGACCAAGACCACAGCAGACCTCAGCACATCTCGCGCACCTCCCCCCCCCCCCCCCCCGCGAAGTTTGTTCGTGTGTTTCGGCTGCAGGTCTTCCCACCGCCGCTGCCCCGACCACCCAGGGAAGACATGGCAGGTGTTCAGCAATTTTGTGCCTTTGCGTTTCCGCTCGACTCGAATGACTCGTTGTCGGGGTGGCGTTTGGGGTCGACGTGCTACGCACGTTGCAGGTGTCAGTGACTTTCCCGACGTGCTTCTCAACCTGGCCCAAGCGTGCTCAACTCAGGACCGTGTAGGGTCTCTTTGCCAGCACTGTCAGCGACTTTCACGACTCCTGAATGTTTTTCCGGTTTCAGAAGCGCCACAAGGTCAGCTGAGAAGCTGCCAGACAAGGCGTCAAGGCGCTCAGCTTGGCTTGATTCTTGCTGAAGCTGCAGATGGCTGCAAATGGCTGCAGGTTTTCGGAGTGGAAATTATTGAACGGTGAATTCACAGATTGCTCTGACCTGCCGCCAGTGAGAGCTGGAAGACTCGAAAGTGACTTTGCCCTTATGATTCTCCTTTCTCACATGGCCTGGCTAACTGATTCGACTGTTTCCATTCAGCCGATGAACAGCCACCTCCTTTCTTGCCTGCCTGCCGCAGCAAAAACAGCTGTGCTAGCTGGCAGGCGAGCAGGCAACTCCCTTCGGCCAAAGGCTGCTCGCGCCTCAGGCATACCGTGGCGTGGCTTGACTAGGGTTCCATGTAGCTTTCTGCAGCAGGGTAGCTTGTCTGCAGCGAAGTGAAGGCCCCTCGCCCGCCCGTGACCCAGGAAGAGGCCTGAGCTTGGATCCTCCCTCTCCCTCTCCCTCTCCCTCTCCCTCTCCTCCTCCCTCTCCCTCTCCCTCTCTCCCTCTCTCTCTCTCTCTCTCTCTCTCTCTCTGTCTGGTTATGTATGCTATGCGGTATCTCAGGCAGGCTCTGAGCAGCAAGCGCCACCGCTGCATTCTCAGAGCGCTTTCGCACGGCTCATATGGCTCGTCCTTGGAACGTGTCTTGACGGATATGCACGGGTCAGGCCCAGGTTGGAGCCAGGGACAACGCGAAAGGTCAGGCGCAAGAGGCCTCTCCATGTCACTGCATCAAGGGCCTTAGGGCCTGAGCTTCTTGGGGTCTACGTAGTACCACAGCTCGAGCACGTGCAGGGGGTTGCGGAGGGGGGGGGGTTGTGTGAATTCTGGGCAGGGCTGAGAATGGTGAGAATACCGAGGCGCATGTGTGTGAGTGTGTGTGTGCTGGCTGTGCATGGTATTGGGTATAGTTTGGTGGGTTTTTGTGCGGTTGCGACCCGAGGGCCGGAAGAAACGACGGAAGGCCTGAGCTGTGTAAGCACACGATTTAAAATAAGAGCTCAGGGGTGCAGTTTCGGTGAGAGTTGTCATTGCGGCGTTGGGGGGGGTGGAGGTTCTCTTGGGCCCAGAAAGCAACGGCAAGGGCGCAGTTCGGGCCCTATTCCCTACATTCGCGTATGTGGAAGTTCCCTATCTGTGCTAACGCCGCAGCTACCGTATCGACTTACAGAGGAATCTGCAGCGGCACCGCCTGGGACCCAATCACTGCTGGATCTCGGAAGTCTGATGGAAGTTCAGTGAAGTCAAGCTCCCGCACGTTTTGGACGCTGTGACTTGGGAGCGTGTCTGCTGTCGCTTCATCCTGAAACATACCGAGGAGCCTCAAGGGTCTGACGTTGGAGCAGCGGAGAATGCAACTCAAGGAAAAGTTGCCCGCAGCCCCAGTAAAAGCAGAGAGCGGATGTTCTGCTGGGTGACAGCGTTTAGCACAGTGTAGCACAGTGTAGCACAGTGTAGCACAGTGTAGCACAGTGTAGCACAGTGTAGCACAGTGTAGCACAGTGTAGCATGGTGCAGTTGCGTAGCACAGTGAAGCACACTTACGGTGGACCATATATGACCACGTGGGCATTCCGTTAGCTTCTTTCTGTGCGGATCATTCCCTCGAGACGCCGTGGGCTTGAAGTTGGTTCATGAACTCTGCATTCGCGTGACGCGCTGACGCGACTCGACGATTCGGCGCTCTCGGAGCTGCCCCGGCTGTTGCTTGTGCAGGTGATGTCAGGCTTGGTCCAAGCTTGACAAAGTCCCAGTGCAGAGTTCAGGGGGTCCCCAAGGCAGGCCCTTCGACCCTCACAGCTCTCGGGGTGCAGTGTGCTCGTCACTGCACGACCCATTCGGCTATTTAATTTTGCTGATTCAATCACGAACGGTTCGCGAAGCTGCTTTGTCTTTACTTCATCATCGCTGCATATCCCGTTCGTATCTTTCTGCATCTTCGCTTGAACTAGTCTGTGTCTTTTCTGTTTTTTCAAAGCATGTTGTTGCCGTTTTTGTTTCTGGCAACATGCTGGAGAGATCGCTGGGAGAACATTCCCGAAGTTATGAATGGCAGAGCGGCGCTTCCCGCTGAGACTTTGCAACGCTATCGCAGAGGTTGCCGCCGAAGCCGCGTCTTTAAAGACTTACGGCAACTTCCTGCTCCCATGTGTTGAAGTTGTGGGATGTTGTGGGCAAGAACCATGTTGTATGTTGTATCATTTCCGTCTGTTCACTTGACTCACCGCGTCAGGAAGTCAAGTTGTATGTCCCTGCAACATCACCCCTGAACCCAGTCAACCGTGTCTTTGCCTTCTGGGCCGGCGGCCAGCGTCGAAGACCAATGTGCATGCTCAATACCTGACTTGTCCAGAGCCTTGGAGCCTGGATTCCACATCCCGATCCTCACGGCAGGAATCCCACTGGTGGGAGCCAAGCGCTTGCCTCATCGCCGTTGCGCGTGCTCGGGTGGACGTACTGGACCGTGCAGCTGCTTGTGGATCCCATGCCCAGCTATGCCCAGCTTCTGATGTCCGTCCGACTTCCTGTTCCATGTTTTCTGGGACACTCCCGCTTGCATCTGCCAGCATCTCATCTGCCAGCATCTGCTTGTGAAGCTGCCCGAAGGCCACAACGCGAGTTGTCACAAGTCACTTTTGTTCGAGAAGTCTTTTTTTTTTTTTCTCCCTCCGCCTTGTGTCAGCTTTTAGCGAGGTATGAGCTGAAGACGCAGATCTCGACGCAGGCGCTGAAAGTTGTGGCTTTGCTTGTTCAGAGCCCAGAGCCCTGGACTCGGAAAGGTTTCACATGGCCCGCCGCCATCGTCAATGCCTCAAGGCCATCTGTCTTCGCGTTTTTTGCACGTGAAGTCATCTTCATCCGACATCATCGGGTTCTGTACATAAGCAGCAGGGCACTTTGGCGGCTACCATAGACATGTTGCGGAGTGCAGTCAGCCAGCGGTGACCGTTCGAAGAAGATCTTGTTTAAATACACCTTCTAGAACATTTTATTTTTAAACTTTTTCTGTCTTTTTTCTTTCATTTTTTAATATCTCACTCTCTCTCTCTCTCTTCTCGGCTCTCTCTCTCTCAATCTCAGTCTCGATGTCGATGTCGATCTCAATCTCAATCCTAATCCCAATCCTAATTTCAATCTCAATCTTGCTCTCGCTCTCGCTCTCTCTCTCTCTCTGTCTCTCTCTCGCTCTCTGTCTCTCTCTCTCTCTCTCTCTGTCTCTCCCTCTCTGTCTCTGCCTCTCTCTCTCTCTCTCTCTTTCTCTGTGTTTGCAAATCTTGAGGGGACCCTCTCTGTACTGAATCTATTGCTGTGCTGATACCGCGTGTTGTCGGTTGAGTGATATTTAGTCTTTCAACTTGCTCGCCATTTGCAAGTTAGGGGCGGGGGTGCGGGGTACAGCTGGACAGCTACATTGGTCACAGGATCAGCATGTTTGTGGGTTTCGGGAGGGAGAAGGATCGCCCTGCAGGCTCTGCGGAACACTTCTGGGGCCAGCCGATGGAGGCACTGTGGCCTGCAAGGGGCTGTGGCAGTTCGTGCTTTTAGCAGGTATTAACATGCCGCTCCTGTGAGAGGGCACAGCGACTTGCCAGTTGCCCAAGTTGCCTACAGGCCACTCGTGGCCAGCGCGGCCAGCGCGGTCGGCGTCCTGTCGAGCCAGATCCGGACTCGTACTCCTACAGTGAGGACGATGCAACGAATGCGGAACGTCAGGCAGAAAGCAGGACCGCCAACGTAATATAGGGGTCGGAAAAATTACTTACAGTAGTCCCTAATGGTCCCCGTATAATACTACAATAACCCCCAAGACACAGTTCTAATGATTTAGGGCACCCTGTTCAAGTCACTTTAGGGCCAAGAAGTGCTCCCTTTACCAGGTGGTCGAGGTGTGTGAAGAGCGACGTTAAGTGCGAACTCTTTGAAGTCATTCGTCACACGAGTCCCTCACATTCCCTTCAGGACTGTTGTTTTGAGGAACAAGTTGGAGGCAGGGTTGCTGAAGTCTCCTTGCTCAACGCGGCTTGCGTGCATGGGGTTCTGGGAAGGCGCAGCTGCGCGCGAAGCTGATGCACTCCATTCAGCCGAAGGCAGGGATCCTGCGAGCTCCAGGGCCTTGAAAGAGCTCAGGGGGCCCTGAAACAAAAGCGGCACCATGATTCCAGTGTCGGTGAATGTGACATGAATCACGATCGTTTGGGCAGGTGCCGGAAGCTGCATGATTGTGCGCAAAAAAATCAGGATTACTTTCCGAATGACGGACTCGGTGATCAACATTTACTTTTCCTCAGATCAGCCACGAACAGAAAAAATGCAAAATCTACTTTTGGATTTTTTGTTGTTCTTATATTAAAGGTTTGCGGAACAGAAACTTTTTCAATGATCCCAGAAAGAAAATTCCCAATGAATCGACAACCCATTGTTCT